GTGAAGGTGGGTCTCCTGATAGTTGTAGTTTTGCAGTCTAGATTATGTACTGCAAAACCTTGCCTTGTTCAAGTATATATATATATATATATATAAGTCTACTGGTTTTTCCGATGCTGCCTGCCATGCACATGTGCTCATGCAGAGATTGATTGGCCCATGGGTTTAGTTGAGCAACGGGGAACTTCCCCTGCTCTCTGGAATTTGGGAGTCGACTGTTGCTTATTTATAGTTGACTTTTTGAGGATTTAGAGTCGACTCTTTATGTATAGAGTCGACTCTAACCTGCAGTATGATGCTCAAACCTCTCTGGAATTTGGCAGTCGAATGTTGGTCATATATAGTCGACTCTTTGAGGCTTTAGAGTCGACTCTTCATATGTAGAGTCGACTCTTCATATGTAGAGTCGACTCTCACCTGCAGCAGATGCTCAAACCTCTCGAATTTGGGAGTCGAATGTTGGTCATATATAGTCGACTCTTTGAGGCCTTAGAGTCGACTCTTAATATATAGAGTCGACTCTAACCTGCAGCAGGATACTCAAACCTCTCTGGAATTTGGGAGTCGAATTTTAGTCATATATAGTCGACTCTAGGAGGATTTAGAGTCGATTCTTCATGTATAGAGTCGACTCTACCACTCACCCGATCGCTGGCATTGGTTGCTGCGCGGGGACCGGAGGTTGGGAGCACTTTCAGCAACAAGAGGCTTATTGCTGAAAGTGCAAGAGGTGTTCAAAAGAGGGACACTTTCAGCAACTTGTCCCTTGTTGCTGAAAGTGCAAGGGGTGGCCGGAGTTGGGAGCACTTTCAGCAACAAGAGGCTTGTTGCTGAAAGTGCAAGGGGTGGCCGGAGTTGGGAGCACTTTCAGCAACAAGAGGCTTGTTGCTGAAAGTGCAAGAGGTGATCAAAAAGAGGGACACTTTCAACAACCTGTCCTTTGTTGCTGAAAGTGCAAGGGGTGGCCGGAGTTGGGAGCACTTTCAGCAACAAACTTAGTGTCTTTGTTGGGGCCAATGCTGATTCTGCTGTACGATTTCCAGCAAACAAACCCCCGACCATAGTTCGGTTTTCACTTGAGCACTTTTTTAATTATCAATTTTTTCTAAACAAGTACAAATTTAGGAGAGCAGATTGGAGCCCAGCATATAAGA